ACGAATTCAAAGTATCTCTTCTCAAATTATCATTGTGCAACAGGTTAAAACTCTGTTTCGTTGGCAAATTAAAATGAATCTACTACACGGTTTGTTTTCGGTGCTATTTATCGTTGAATTTTCAGTAAGTTTTTTTCACTTTTATCCAATAAAATACGATATTTCTGTAGAACTGGAAGTGAACATGAAATTTCTTTTTCTAGGAACTTCAAGGAAAACGTAAGACAAATTTTGTTTTCGTACACGCTTTTTATGATTCCAAGAGATTTTTCATTTAAAAATTTCAACTCTTTTCTCTAATGAACAGATGGCTTTTTCTCGCAAGCTCTTCTCAAGGGCGAAGTAATTGAAAACATGTCACAGGCAAAGTTTGTAGCTGGAATCTATGCCCCTACAAGTAAGTTAACTTTAGAATAATTTTTATTCTTTTTTTCGTGTGAATTTTTTATTCAAATATTCTATCAATTTTGTGTGTGTTCATTTTTGCTTGTACTGAGACGAAACGATTTCATTACAGAATATTTGTATGCATTCAAAGACAATTTAACTGATACTGATAGGGAAATGGTAATTACATGTACCGCATTTATTCTGTCAAAAACGGAAATTATCACGAATGCCCATTGTGTGGCTGGCGCTCCATATGCCTATGTGGTAGCTGGTACGAAAGTTGCATCATACGAATATCAACAAATAAAAATCAAAGTCGAAAAAGAGAACATTGCATGGCACCCTCATTAAAGTCATTTAATTGTTGGTGCATTTGATATTGCCAAAATTACACTGAAAACGCCGTTAGAATTCAGCGATACCGTTGGCAGTATCAAACTCGTGGACAACGATTACAAATTGAATAACTCATCAGAAGTGGTCACTGTCTATGGGTATGGCGTGTTGAATTCACCAATGATATTGAGGCGTTGCGATGCGAACTATATATCTGATGTCGATCGTGTCAGCGCATTTAACCCACGTCAAACATTGTACTTTACCACTAGCGAAGCTACGAACGATGGCGAAATTCTTACACCTGGTGATTCGGGTGGACCAGTCGTTTCAAAAACAAATGGCAAAATCGTGGGCATAGCTGTGGGTATAAATGGAACAACAGGTCGTCGCGGAATGTTCCTCCCAATTGCATCATTCCTTGATTTTATCCATGATCCAAAGGTATCTAATCTCAATGCCCCAATTTGCATTTCAATACGGGAACAAAATGTATTTTTGCTTTTATTTCAGAGCGTGAAACCACTTCCACCTTCGCTTACACCTAACGAAGCTAAATTCTTAGCCGATATATCGGTACCGGGGAGTAAGTGTGCTTTCAAAATTTGAATTAAATCAATTTATTATCTGGTTTTTAACCTCACTTTTAATCTTCATTTTTTTTTCGGCGGCGAAAGAGGAGATTTTTCATGTTTCATAAACCAATACTCATCCTGAGATATTTTTCTATTACAGAATTTCTTACCGTTACCAAGGAAGCATATGCCAACACCGACGAAGATTTTCGAATACACTCTAATGCAATCATTTTCTCGGAAACCGAGATTTTGACCTGTGCACATAATGTGCACGGCGCCCCATATGTCTATGTAATAGTAAATAAACTATCAAGCAATCCGACAGAAATCAAAGTCACCGAAGACCAGATAGAAATTCATGAGAAATACGCAGTGTTCGGATTCGCATTTGACATTGCCAAGATTACACTTAAAGAACCGTTGGAGTTCAACGAGAACGTCGGCAGCATCGATTTGGTGGACAAAGATTACAAATTGGCTGACCCGTCTGAAATAGTCTCTGTCTATGGTGATATGACATTGGATGGAACAGCGAGAACGAGACGTTTTGATACAAAGTATTTGGATGGCGCCATTTGCAAATCGAAATTGGGCGACCGATTTGATGCAAATCATTTGATGTGTTACACTTTAGATGAAAGCATGGGAACTCCCTTTACGTTCGGAGGACCAATGGTTTCGAAAAAGAATAACAAGCTCGTGGGCATGACCATAGTTCGTTATCCTGATGAACCGGTTATTTTTCAACCGATTGCACCGTTGCTCGATTGGATCCGAAAGCCAAGGGTAGGACGTAATCAAAGAAGAAGAATGGCTTGAAAGAGGGGGTTTCATGCGTCTGAAAAAGCTGAATACCGTCTCTTTTTTTGTTCCTGTCATTTGATGTTCAACAAAAGAACTGAATAAATTTGAAAATTTGAGAAAAATGCATTTTAGTTTTCATTCGTTAGTTTCATCTGCACGTAAGTTTGAGCGAGATAGCATGAGTTTTGGGCATCCCAGTGAATAGGTACTACGGAACTGGTGAAATGATGGCTCGGATTTACTCATAGCGTTTTGGAGGCGATGGACACATTATTTTTGCCGAATTCTGCTCGCAAATGCAAGTTCTGGCCATGTGTAGATTTTACCATATAAATCAATGTATAATCGCAGCCGCGCCGCGCTCTGACCTCAGAGATTTTCATACAAACCTGTCATGTAGACGGTCGTAACACAGGCAAAAATCGAAAAAAAGTTTTAAAAAAATGTTTTTAGATTCCAATAGAGTATTTTGTGTGCACCGTTGGAATTATCGGCACATTGAAATTCGCGCTCCCTACCACTTAATTTTCAGTCCGAAATCAAGTCACAACCGAAACTACCATTGAATAGCTGTGAAGGTAAAAATTGAATTAAAACAACTTACTTGTTCAACGCTAATCATATAAAAGAGAACCTTTTATTGAAGTCAACGGTATTTATGTGGGCGATACAAATGCATAATGTAACGTATGAATTACACACATATATACCGTGTGCATTGGACACATATGTGTGTCCAGCAGTGTGGTCATATGATAATATGACCGAATGTGAACGAAACACTATAGTTCACATTTGGTCATTCTGGCGCGACTCGCGAGCAAGCATCGGCATTGAGACGGCCGATGTTAATATATTGGCTGGCGATGTTGTATTACGTGGCAATGCTACGTTACATGGTGTATTCGCATTTGATCGATATTTGTATGTAATCAGCACAGCAGCTGCTATCATCGGGATTAGATAGATTGTAGCATAATGATGGCTATCATGGTATGAAAGTTGGTGTGGTAGTTGCGTTTGGAGCTCCTTTACCTGATTTTCCAACTCAATTATGTCATCTTTTGTGCTCAGTATGCGTGGCACCACTGATGCACTAGTGGGTCTCTTAAAGATCCCACTGGACATTGAGGGAATTAGTATGTCAAAAGGTTCACTCTCCATATCTCTTTGTCCATAGATTATGTGGTGGCGAGACGTGAGAATGCATTGAGAATTCAGTTTGAGGATATACATGATAACGCTACATCACGCATTGAACAAAAAAGTACCCTTAAAGTAAATTCTAGTCATTCTGAAATGAATTCACAACTTGAATATCAACGTACACACATAATATGAATGAGTGAGATTGAAAATAAGACATGTTCTGACAATATATCGTTATGATACAAAAACGAATGATTTTTTTAAAGTTTAACATCGGCAGAGAATTTTTCGAAGTGAAACACCGCAAGTTTTCGGTCTTTGTTGGACCATTGAATATGCTTACGTATGTTTATTTCATCGAATATTACACCGCAAATCAATTTCTCTCCTTTTTCAGCTTTCTCGGTGACCTTTTTCTTCAATACATTCAAGCAATGCTCATTGATGACATTGGGAGCCGTATTTAAATCGGAGTTTGCATACCAAGAACGAATTGTTCCTGAGTGTGGTAAGTGATTGTTAAATGTTTCACGGAGGAATTCATACGCTCTCGGACTATGAAAATGCATAGTGAAACAAAATTCTCGAAGCGATTCGGGGTATTTCTCTGTCGGTTTCAGTTTGTGAACAAGACTCTTGATTATTTGATTTTGTTTATCCTAAACAAAAAAAAAATCTTTGAAATCATACGTTCAATTATAATCAATTTATACATTAGATAACATTAGAATATTAACATTCATCTCGGCGAAAGCAATATTTTTTTCATTCGTCAGCTTATCCGATAAATTTGTCAACTGCTCTATTTATTTTTTTAAATCACCAATCTCTTTCGTTAGCTTTTGCTTCATTTCTTTATAGTACGCGATCCGTGCGACCATAAAAATTTTTTGACTTTCATTTTCTCGCTTGAGTTTTTCAATTTCTTGCTGTAATTTTTCACTTTGTGAAATAATTTTTTGAACCTCAATTATCGTAAACACTCCGAATTGTAACATAGTCCAAATTGTAAAATATTTGTAAAAAAAACACGATTTTAATATAGATACGAATTTTAAATCCGACACATTATATACATATTCGGAAAAAGCACGAATAAATCTATCTATGTAGAATAATTAAACACTGAAAATGTTTTAGTTTACATTCATTTATCCATTTTGAAAACAGCATCTAGTTTTTCACTGGTTTTGAGAGGAAAAGTTGAACTATGTTGCAATGTCAGGCTTCCTAATTCATTGTTTTTTTTTCACCAAATATATTAGTACCAATAGTACAAAATATTTGATGTTTTCATGAATTTCTACAGTGAAATGTTTTTGAAAATTTAATGAAACACTCTTTTTGCTATATATTCCGACAAATATTAATATTTTAGATAAATTCCATGATTTATCAATTGTAACTCATTCTTTCCGAGTTATAACATACAAGGCTGCTGTCAAACTGAATTTTGAATGAAAGTTCTATGGTTGATTTGGTGTTGACAGATATGACAGTACGCAATGTGCCGATCACTTAGTGTGTTGAAATGTATGATAGTGTAAATATTCTTGTTTGTGAAAATGTTTTAAAACAATAAATATTGAAAAACATAAAAGAAAAACAATCCAAAATCAATAGAATAAATCGAAATCACATCAAATTTGGAAACAATTGCGTGGAACCCAAACGGTACAAATTTTGACATTTCATAAAGTTTCGTCATAAGTTTGTGAATATATGTTTCAATTTGGAGTTTACAATATGGATAGTTCAGTTTCCAAATATGAGATTTCGTGTATTTTTGCGATTAAAATAAAAATTAAACTATTGAATGAATTTTTCGTTAATCAACCGATACATAAAAAAAAAAGCCAAATAAATTCTCTTTCGAATTGATATAAACATTTTGGGAATTCATGAAGTAATTTTGTAGAAATGGACATGCAAATCGGAAAACTGATAGTTTATGTTACAAATTGGAGTGTTTACGATATATTGCGCATGTCAGCATTTTCTTCTGTTCCAAATCCACCAACATTGTTGTGAGAATTCAATTCATATGAACCATTGTCATTTTCCGAATCTTCACTCTCGTCAATTTCGATCATCTCAACATTGAACAGACTCGGAATAGCATTGTATTTTAACGTAAACCTTTTTCCAACTTTTGATACGACATAATCCTCAGGCTCAAAATGTTCGATGCAAATCCATTGACTTGAGCCACATTTCTGTTCGTTCAATGCTTTTTTCCATGCTTCTTTGGCAACTGGATCTTTTGGGAAGCTGTAAAAATATTGTGAAAATTCAGAATCTTACTTCGTTTAAATTAAATCGTTTCATTTTTCTAACCTGAACATATGTATTCGAGAATTTTCAACTCCTTTAAAATTTTCACAACTTTTAATTTTACAATATAGTCGCATTTTGATCAGCCTCTCTGATCGTCTGTACAAATAGATAGGAAACGTCAAACAAGAACAATAAAGCGGCACCTGGCGACTGGTTGGAGAAATAGAGAACCATGCACATAGTTTGCTGTAACAAGTATGCGTCTGTGTTAGTTCTAACGTTGAAAGTATGACACATTGCATTTAGTCACCAGGTGCCGCTGTATTGTTTACTATTTTCATGATCAGAAAGGCTGATTTTGATCACGTATATAGTGAAATTTCGAATTAGATTCGTACGTTATTGACGTTAAACATAACTGCATCGGAAAACGCAGTACACACTGGAGCACTTGTAAACATTGTGAATATATGCATATTGCCCTCTTCAGCGAACGTTCGAAAACTCACTTCAGATGACATTCAAATAAATGTATTTTCATTGAATAATTTATTAAGAAAATCGAATATAAAACAAGCAAAAAATATATATTTATATCCGACGTGAGGTAGAAAAATTCTATTTAATCCTTCCTAACCGATTCTCACTTAAAGCTTCTTAAAACTTTTTTTTCAACGTGATAGAATGCATTTAGGCGATGAAAATAGTTTGAAAACATAAATTTACTGAAACTTAAATCCAATACGTTGCAAGAGTATAAAAAATAAATTCAAAACTAAAAAGAGAAATAAATAAATAATATTTCTTCATAAGCAACTGAAATTCCAATCAATATTCAAATATTTGCTTCATGACAACATTTTATATTTTCAACAAAAAATGTTTCATAGTACAGCATATCAAAAGCATGCAATTTACATATTATGGACATTGGACAGTATAAATTCAGGATTGAATATTCAATCAATCCAAAATATCAAAGTAAAAAAGTTCTTCTTGTAGTTTCAATTAAAAGATGACCAGTTACATTTTTAATAAAAAAAATTCCATTTAAATCTTTATTCAAGTAGATATTTTTCTTTTTTTTCACATTTTATTGTTTTTTGGGATGCAAATTATTGAAAGCAAACAGAAATGTTGGTTTATTAAAGACAAAAACCAAGCTTGAAAAATTAAACGTGCAAATTATTCGGAATCACTGACAAGTTGACCGAAACTTTCGTCCGATTCATCGATGTCTTCCACGAGTTTGATCTCTTTCGCTGGCACAGTATGTGATTTTTGTCCTTCGAACTTATCAAGCACTCCCAAAATGTACTGAGAAGTGTTTGACATTTTTTTTTGATGGACCATACTTGTTTGTAGACGGCTCAGCCAAATCGCACAATGGAATTAGACCTGGGATGCCCCGTTTAGGTAGTTGAAATGAAGTTGTCGGTTGGAGTGGAGTTATCGGTGCTGGCAAGTCGAGTAAATCTGGCACAACACTATATTGATAGTGATGACGGATCATCCATACAAATGAGATCCCCTTCAAAATCAGCTGGTGGCAATGCTGGTGCAGTGGGAATCATTGGTGTCGACAAGTTGGATGTGTTCGGTACATTGCAGTCAAGTATGGCTAATGCATGTTGTGCACCAACGTGGTTTTGCATTTCGACAGGTGGCAAAAATGGCAACAAAAGTACCTCAGAAGAAACCGAAGAAATGTTTAGTGGTGCAATATTCTCTTTGCTCTCATCAGATTCAGCATTGATTGTGGTGTCTGTGAGTGCAATTGAAGCGTCATCATCGTCAGACGAATCGGCAATTTGTTGTACCTCACTTGATTTTGGCACCGAATTGCTTCCATTGTTTTGCATGCCACTTGTACTAGCCTTCAATTGGTTAACATCACGCTCTACATCGCTCGATTTTGGTACCAAATCGTTGTGACCAATTTCAATCGCCTCAATACGATCATTGCCTGCTTGAACAAATCGTAGAAAAAAGAAATAAAATCAACCATTCAGTCGGAACTTGACATTAAAAATGAAACAAAAATAAACTGCACCATTGTATTGCATGCCACTTGAGCGATGCTCCATTTCGATGGCATCGTGCTGTAGCTCGCTCGATTTTGTTGCCAAATCGCTTTGATTATTTTCAATTGCGTCAATAGTATCAACATCTACTTTAATAAACCATAGAAAAAATAATTCAAATCAATTATTCAGTCGAAACTTGACAGGAAAATGGAAAAAAATGAAAAACAAAAACTCCACCATTATCTTCCAAGTCACTTGAGCCTTGATCAGATTCGACGACTTCACGTTGTACCCCGCTTAATTTTGGCGCCGAATCATTTCTATTGTTTTGGTTGCCGCTTGAGTCTGGCTCCAATTCAACGACATCACGTTGAAGCTCGCTTGATTTTGGTATGAAATCGCTTAGGTTGACTTCAATTTCATCAATAGTATCAACATCTACTTTTAAAAAAAAAGATAGAAAAATAATTAAAATAAATCATTCAGTCTGAGCTTGACAGTAAAAATGACAAAAAATGGATCAAAAATAAAGTGCACCATTGTCTTCCAAGCCACTTGAGCCTATATCAGATTCGACGACTTTACTTCCATCGTTTTGCATGCCGCTTGTGTTTATCTCCGATTGGTTGACATCATGCTGTAGCTCACTTGATTTTGGTGCAGAATTGCTTTGATCTATTTCCATTGCCTCAATATTATTACAGATGGGCGGACTATCTGATTAAGATTAATTAATCTTAATCAAACACCCAAAATTCGCGATGATTAATACGACCACTTAATCACTTTATCGCTATTAATCATGGTTAAGTGATTGTACAATTGATTAATTAATCATCGATGATGATTAAGTTGTTGTCCTAATCACGATGTCGCCGTGATTAACTGTGACAACTTAATCATGATTAAGTAAATAGTTAATCATGATTAAGATGTGATTAACGGAATGATTGTGTAGATTTAATTAATCATTAGACGTCATAAATGCAGAAATGTTGAAAATGATTCCCATTTTCCACAATCATTTCGTTAATCACATCTTAATCATGATTAAGAATTTACTTAATCATGATTAAGTTGTC